TTATCACTGTATTTATAGTGAGTCGGCCCTGATGAGGAACTTGTAATTAGATCTTGCGTCATAATCACTACGTGTGTTGAAAAGTCTCATATTTAAAAAATTTTCATCGACGTCAAAGTAATTAACTGCTATTTTTTGATCTATTTTTTAGCTTTCTAATAGCCATGGTAGTCCTTCACGAGAACGTAGCAATAGTAATAATGACGATAAAATGGCCATGCTACATACAAAAAGAAAAGTTTCGCTGAATCCGAGTAAGATAAACAATATCTCGATTAGCTTACTGACTACGAAGTTTTTCGATGTAGTATCGTTGACGGTAGTGAATACTATCGGTGTAGAACGGATAAAAAATAAATTCAATTTCATGCTAACGCTACCTTCGATCGTAGGTTTGAGAAGAAATTTAGCGACTTGTGTAAGTAGTATATGTTTCATGAAAAGTATTTAAATGAAATATAAATGTATGGTTGCTTGTCACTAATTGCCGTGCCGTTGATTAATAACGCTGCTGTAATTCTATCGCTTCTCTATTTCAAAAGATTAAACGCTCAACCTCAAGTGAAAATTCTGGAAATACTCAGTTAAAGATGGATAAGTTTGGTAATAAGGCTTATGGTTCATATCAGTTTTAAAGTTGTGTATGCATATATCTTCAATGACTGCGTAGAGTCTATACGTGAGCTCATGCTAAATGTTAATATTGAAACTTTTACGTAATGAGGTTGTATTTTATCTGCAGACGCTATTATCCCACCTAAAAATACTAATACTCCCTCAGCAATGCAATCACCTTCGGTCAGTTCATTAATTTAATAACTTGGAATTTTTATTTTAAATTTTAAATTGCGCTGTGATAACGAGTCTATCGCCCTTAATTAATAAGCCACACACAAGTAAATGCAATTTTGCGAATAGTAAAATACTCAGTAAATCACCACCGGATATAAAAGTGTCAGCTGGAAAACGTAGAAAAATATTAATAACGCTGTTATAATTCTATCGCTTCTCTATTTCAAAAGATTAAACGCTCAACCTCAAGTGAAAATTCTGGAAATACTCTGTTAGAGGTGGATGAGTTTGGTAATAAGGCTTATAGTTCATATCAGTTTTAAAGTTTTAAAGTTGTGTGTATGCATATATCTTCAATGGCTGCGTAGAGTCTATACGTGAGCTCATGCTAAATGTTAATATTGAAACTTTTACGTAATGAGGTTGTATTTTATCTGCAGACGCCATTACCCCACCTAAAAATACTAATGCTTCCACAGCAATGCAATCACCTTCGGTCAGTTCATTAATTTAATAACTTGGAATTTTTATTTTAAATTTTAAATTGCGCTGTAAAGTCTCTCATATTTAAAAAATTTTCATCGACGTCAAAGTAATTAACTGCTATTTTTTGATCTATTTTTTAGCTTTCTAATAGCCATGGTAGTCCTTCACGAGAACGTAGCAATAGTAATAATGACGATAAAATGCCCATGCTACGTTCAAAAAGATTGCTTTCGCTGAATTCGAGTAAGATAAACAATATCTCGATTAGCTTACTGACTACGTAGTTTTTCGATGTAGTATCGTTGACGGTAGTGAATACTATCGGTGTAGAACGGATAAAAAATAAATTCAATTTCATGCTAACGCTACCTTCGATCGTAGGTTTGAGAAGAAATTTAGCGGCTCCTGTAAGTAGTATATGTTTCATGAAAAGTATTTAAATGAAATATAAATGTATGGTTGCTTGTCACTAATTGCCGTGCTGTCGATTAATAACGCTGCTGTAATTCTATCGCTTCTCCATTTCAAAAGATTAAAGGCTCAACCTCAAGTGAAAATTCTGGAAATACTAAATTAAAGATAGATGAGTTTGGTAATAAGGCTTATGGTTCATATCAGTTTTAAAGTTGTGTGTATGCATATATCTTCAATGGCTGCGTAGAGTCTACGTGAGCTCGTGCTAAATGTTAATATTGAAACTTTTACGTAATGAGGTTGTATTTTATCTGCAGACGCCATTATCCCACCTAAAAATACTAATACTCCCTCAGCAATACGATCACCTTCGGTCAGTTCATTAATTTAATAACTTGGAATTTTTTAAATTTTAAATTGCGCTGTAATAACGAGTCTATCACCCTTAATTAATAAGCTACACACAAGTAAATGTAATTTTGCGAATAGTAAAATACTCAGTAAATTATCACCGGATATAAAAGAGTCGGCTGGAAAACGTAGAAAAATATTAATAACGCTGCTGTAATTCTATCGTTTCTGTATTTCAAAAGATTAAACGCTCAACCTCAAGTGAAAATTCTGGAAATACTCTGTTAGAGGTGGATGAGTTTGGTAATAAGGCTTATGGTTCATATCAGTTTTAAAGTTTTAAAGTTGTGTGTATGCATATATCTTCAATGGCTGCGTAGAGTCTACGTGAGCTCGTGCTAAATGTTAATATTGAAACTTTTACGTAATGAGGTTGTATTTTATCTGCAGACGCCATTATCCCACCTAA